GATGTGGGACTCGATCCCGGGACACCAGGATCATGACCTGAGCCGAAGGCAGCCGCCTAACCAACCGAGCCACCCAGGCGTCCCAAGTGTCTGACTCTTGATTTCAGCTCAGGTCTTGATCTCAGGGTTTTGAGTTCAAACCCCACATTGAGCTCCACGCTGGGTGTGGAGCTTACTTTAAAAAAATAAAATAAGGGGCACCTGGGTGGCTCAGTGGGTTAAAGCCTCTGCCTTCAGCTCAGCATCGGGCTCTCTGCTCAGCGGGGAGCCTGCTTCCCCCTCTCTGCCTGCCTCTCTGCCTACTTGTGATCTCTCTCTGTCAAATAAATAAATACAATCTTTAAAAAAATAAAATAAAATAAAATAAAATAAAAATTAATGTGGCAAAAGTCTAGCACCTCTTCCCAGGTCATCTTCTTCCCAAATAACTTTGTTGTTAATTGTTCCCCATCCCTATCTTTCTTTGAACAATGAGACCATGTGGTCTGATAGTTTTCAGTAATGATATATTTTCTGGGCCAACTCTCTGGGGATGACTAATGATTCTTTAGCATAAATCAGAGAACTAATGATAGGCATTGTGAATACAGCATTACTCCTCAGTGAGTAAATTCAGGTAGATCAAACTCTCCTCCCACCATGACTACCAAAACTGCCTTAAACCATTTAACTGAAAGGCTTCACAAAAATATAGGTGCACCTGGGTGGTTCAGTGGGTTAAAGCCTCTGCCTTCGGCTCAGGTCATGATCCCAGCACCCTGGGATCAAGCCCCGCATTGGGCTCTCTGCTCAGCAGGGAGCCTGCTTCCTCCTCTCTGTCTGCCTGCCTCTCTGTCTACTTGTGATCTCTATCGGTCAAATAAATAAAATTTTTTAAAAATATATATAAATCATCCCTTGTTTTTGGCAAAGTCATACTACAGAATTGCTCTCCATAAAGACTGAATTCAAACCACTTGTATGCCTGCTTTAGAAGTGAGGGCCCATCAAGTTTCCTAACTCAGGTTCTGAGGCCTAAATCAATACTAATATTCTACCCATGTCTCTTTAAAACCACACAAGAAATCATTCCAAGTTCATTTCCTTTTGAAGAGTCCTTTGTAAATAGTGCACAAAGTGGTGTGAACCTTTTTGGCTGGAGAGTCAACTCATGCCCAATCCCCTTGCTTCTGTACTGCTGTTTAATTGCTGACTCCCACTTTATAGCCAAGCCAATTAGTAGCCTTGGCCAAGTGCTGGGAGCTTGGAGGCCTGTAACTCTGTGCTGCCTGAGAAAAACAAGAAGCCTCTCCCATCAGAATTTTCCTCATGTGAAAACCATGCCAGAAGTCTAAGAGATGGAGACTGTAGTTCTGTCCAGTGACTGGGCACACCAAAGCATGTGAGTATCTGAATAGCAGGACCAGAGGACTGACACAGGATATGGGAATTTTAAGAGAGGACTATTTCATTCCTCATTTAATTTACGAAGCATTATTACCCACTTTTACTTCTGATGAGAATAACTAACTCCTTTAGAGCTGACAGGATATTGAGCAGAAAGCTCCAGAAAGCTCCACACCCGGCTAAGTTACTGGCTTACTCTAGGCACTCTCAGAGAACCAAAAAAGAGTGGGGAACCATCGAACTGATTTCCTTATGAAACATAAACCTGCATTTACCCTCAGGCCTCCAGGTGTTGATTATAGGCTTATCGATAATCCAATACTGCAGAAAAAGCCAACAAAACACCTTAGAGTCTGAATAAGGATTTCAAAAAAAATTTGAATATTCACCTCTTTTTTTATTTCATTACATCTCAAAATACACCATTCATCCAAGAATTAAAAGATTCAGCAGTGGCGGTATCATAGCCAATGAGGTTTATCTGAAGCACAATTATTGCTAATTGAAAAGATTCAGCTTTGGAAGAACTCAAATTTCATACACGCCTCTCATTAATTCTCCTTGGTACCTCTGCGAAGGGAGTTCTAACTATTATCCCGTTTCAAGGTCAAGGAATGTTTCTCTCCCAAGAAAGGACAGCCTGCCCGGAGGGCCTTGGGTGACAAATGGCAAGGCTAAGAATTCTCCTAGCTCAGTCTCTGGCTTGTACCAGCGACCCCCCCACCCCCCGCCTTACCTCTCACCTTGGCTCCTAGCCCCTTATGGGACAGTATTCCCGTTCCTTAACACAGAGCAGCCAGCCCTGGTGTGTATCATACTTAGGTTTAGGGAAACACATGAAAATATTTTTCCTGACATCATATTCTCTACCAGTGGGAAAACTTGTGTGGGTGGCATGGGTGAATGAAAGCAGAAAATTTCCCAAAACTCTTGGCCTACTTAATGGCCCTGACAACACATAGTTATAGTGTTTGGGGGGTGGGGGTGGGCTGTTTCTTTTCAAAGGAAGCATGATTAGTCAGCTGGTTCAAATACGTCCAAAGAGATTTAGAAAATGGTTAACAATCCTTTTTAAATGTGGCCGAGAAATCTAACCTTCAGAGATTCTAAATATTATAAGGACTCCTGCAAAGACCCTTAAAAATCATTATCACAAAAGCCCTACCACCTGTAGGAAAAACTCTTCAGTGAGTACTGTGTGGTAAATGCCCATTGCTCAGGTGACCTATCATAAAACTTATTTCACAGAGAATGGCCTCACTGATCTGAAGGGAAGGTCATTTTCCCTAAGTGCCACCCCCCTGGATTTGCTCTCCCTTGAGTAGTACTGTGCTGGTTTGGGCTGCACAAACCAGTTGCCGCCACCTTCCCAAGTTCTCTGCCGTTCCCTAAACTACCTTCTACTGTACAGGATCCCTAGAGGTCCAATTCTATTTTCTGCAGCAAACATAACACAAACTGGTGGGAAGGTTCAGCCATTTCACATTCTCCCAGAAAACAAATTGCTAAGGTTCAGTATAAAATGGAAAGCAGTGACTTTTTTTTTTTTTTAAGGTCACAGAATCAGCAAATTTCAGAGCTGGGAAAAAAAGCATAAATCAGCAAATCGTTACTCTTAAATAATCAAAATTTTTTGTTTCTTGGGAGGCCTGGGTGGCTCAGTCGGTTAACCGGCTGGCTCTTGATTTCCTCAGGTCATGATTTCAGGGTTGCAGGAACAAGCCCTCGCAAGGAACTCTGCCTGGAGCCTGCTTGAGAGTTTCCTCTCTCTTTCTCTCGCTCTCTGCCCCTCCCCGCCACTCACATGCCAGCATTCTCTCTTAAAAACAAAAACAAAAAAACTTGAGGGTGCCTGGATGGCACCCTCAGTTGAGCATCTGCCTTACGCTCAGGTCATGCCAGGTTCAAGGATTTAGACCTACAAGGGTTCCTTGCTGGGTGGGGAGCCTGCTTCTCCCTTCCCTGTGCCTGCTGCTCCCCCTGCTTGTGCTTCCCCTTCTTATGCTCTCTCAGTGTCAAATTAATTAATTAAATTTTTAAGAAAAATTGTTTCTCAGGAAAGTAAGACAAATGGCCAATTAACACTTAAACAGCCTTAAGCTGAGAAGCCCACAAGAGGAAGGGGGCATGTATGAAAGAGCACCTCTTAGTTCTGCAATTAACGAAAAACATGAGACTCCTTTCAGTTTCCCCAATGTTCCATTTCATGTTTTGGGCACGGATTATCCTTTAATAACTTTCCCCCATTAACTCTCCTACCAATCACTTGGCATTTGGGTTTCACTTTGGGGATAATTAGTGTTTTTAAGACACTGAAACCTCTGAAGGCCAAGTGCTGTGGACAATACAACCCCCGTGCTTAACGAGGAGGGCAAGCTCACAGGTAGACATTAAATCCGGTCAAAAGAGACAAGAGGAGCCCAAGACTAGCTCAGTCAGTAGAGGGGAAACTCTTGATCTGGGAGTTTTAAGTTCGAGCCCCACCTTTGGTACAGAAGTTACTTTAAAAAAAAAAAAAAAGGCAATAAGAAAATGAGCTGCAGTTGGGTGCTTCCTTTTCCTGACAAGGATTTTTTTAATTTAACACTGGCTGGAGTGGAGGCACCTGGCTGTCGGCGTCCTCTTTATATTTCATAAGCAGGGGTCGCAGAATCCCAACAGGCCAGAGTTCTAGGCGCTGTCACCTCTTTACCAGGCTGTCCCAGCAGCCTCCTCAGCTTCTCCCCATCCCAGGGTTCCCCTTACCCCAACCCACGATTCAGTGGCTCCCAAACCCTCAACCGGGCACTCAAGAGTTTTTTCCTAACCAGCCCTAACCTAATTCTCCGAAGTTTTTTTGTTGTTTGCTTGTTATTTTTCCCAAAACAGCCCTAGCCCTTGGTCTAGTCAGTCACCCAACAGTCTCGTCTTTCTTTCACCTCCTGCGCAAGGCTCACGGTCTCCTTCCGCGGAGGTCCTCTTTTCCTCTATTCTTCCATCCCCCAACCGCTGCGGGGAAATTAGTCCTCAACCCTCAGGATTCCACTCAGATTTCACCTACACCAACAGGTCCACTGGGATCCCAGTTACCCCCCTCTCAAGAATCAGGATTCCTTCACCTCCCCTAACACCTTCTCTGAACACCCCGACCTCTGCTCCCACCAGGGGGGCTCCCAAGCGGCCTCCCGGCCCCCGGCAGCGTCTCAGAAATCGCAGCCCAAGGCGAAGAGCTGCAGAAGCCTCCCGTACAAATCCCCCGGGACGGGGTGTGGCTGTCCCCGCTTGGAGCACGCCGAATCCCGGCATGGCGAGACCCGCTGAAATGCGGAGCCCCTTCAGACCACGGCCCAGTGGCCGGCCGGGCGGCGCAGGATCTCCACCCTCCCAGCCTCCAACAGCGGCGCGGCGACCCAGAACCGGACGAACAGCCGCCGGGCTCCTGGATGGGCTTTGCGCCGGCTCCCGGCCCCTCCCCGGGGGCTGCGAACACCGCATCCTAAGTCGGTCCGTCCCGTCCCGGTGCCTGCCGCCCTAATGGTGCTCTTTGGGGGGCTCGCGGGCGCGCCAAACCTCCGAAGGGCCCTGCCCGCGCCTTACCCGCTCCCCGGTTCCGGCCTGCGTCCGCCCCGACTCACCTCTCCTCTTCTCGAATCCGTAGGGCACTGGTTTGGTAGAGACCTGACCTGACCAGATGAGACCGCACCAGATGCACCGCACCTGCCACCGAGCGAGAGAGGAGCAGCGGCGAGTCTGACGTCACGGCGGCCCGGAGCGCGGGGAGCTCGGAGTCACCTGATCACCCCGGCAACGCGCGCGGGGCGGGGCGAGGCGGGGGGCGGTGTCACAGCACGAGCCCCACCCCCAACCCCACCCCCAGCCGGCCGGCCTCTGGGCGCCTCTGGGAGCGCTCCTGGTCGCTTGGCTTGGTGAGAACCGGAGGCGGGATCCGGGCTTTCCTGCTCCTGCCTCTGAGCTGGGGTGGACCTGAGACTCCCAACGGGCACTCGTTTCAGGTTGGATCAGTCGCGAAGACTCCAAATGATTATCCCTCTCCGCTAGGACAGGTGCCTGGCTGTCCCCGTTGTAACCCACTCAGGCTGGGTTCACTGTAGGCCTCTCCTCCTGGTGTCTTCTTGGTCTACACCCGCATAGTCCAGGATTCGTGAGCTGTACCTGAGAGGAGTGGGGCTATGGCTAACTGGATTGCTCTCTGGCAACTTTTCCTCATAAACGTCACAGCAAGTAGTGCAGCCTTTGCTAGAGAATGTAATAAAACCTCATTCTTTCAGGCGCAGGCCCAAGACTTCCTGTCCTAAAGGTCTTTTTCTGTTCCAGCAAGGAGAGAAATGACTGAAACACTCCCAGAGCAAAGTCGAGGAAAAACCTGCAAGTCATGTTTGCAAAGAATTTTTTGATACTCATTTTAGAAATTGATTTTTCTCTAATGTACTCCCCTTGCTTGCTACAGCCATAGGCATACACCTCTATGACTGGTGTAGACCATCAGCTTCAAAGTGAGAATTTAACATCCCATGGAGGTCCCAGTTTGAGAACCACTTTTTATCTCCTCCCTTGGCTTCTTGCTGATTGAATTTCATTTTAGTTTTACTCTCTTATTCCCTGCGCTGCTGTGGAGGTTTCATATATATTGTCCTTCCCTCTCAAACTATAGGATTTTAGACCTGTCAAAGAGAAAAACCATGGGTCCCAAAAGGTGTCACTTTGGCCAAGTCACCAAACCCAGGCTTTTTTTCTTTAAGATTTTTAAAGGGGCGCCTGGGTGGCTCAGTGGGTTAAGCCTCTGCCTTCGGCTCAGGTCATGATCTCCGGGTCCTAGGATCAAGCCCCGCATCGGGCTCTCTGCTCAGCAGGGAGCCTGCTCCCCCCACCCCCACTTGTGCTCTCTCTATATCAAATAAATAAGTAAAATCTTAAAAAAGATTTTTAAAAAGTTATTTATGATAGAGTGAGAGAGGGAACACAGCACAGGGGAGGTGAAGATGGAGAAGCAGGCTCCGAGCTGAGCAGAGAGCCTGATATGGGGCTTGATCCCAAGATGCTGGCTGGGATCATGCCCTGAGCTGAAGGCAGACGCTTAACGACTGAGCCACCCAGGCGCCCCAAACCCAGGCTTAATAACACAACGTAATTGCAGTTTCAACCTTTGCCAGAAATGTGGTCAGGAATTTCCTGATAAGCACCAATGAGGCAATCTGTCACGTGGAGCTCTCCATCCCTCAAAGGAAGGTGGGGTAATCTGCATTACAGGAATCCCGCTACTCTACCCCTAACAGAATATGCTTTCTCTTCTTTTGCTAATAACTTCCTTGCTCCAACCTCACTCCTACGTAAAAAACCTCTTCCATTTTGTGCAAATCCCCTCTACTAGGTAGATGGGATGCTGCCTGATTTAGGAATCATTTATTAAAGCCAATTAGACCTAAAAGATAAAGTTATTTTACAATCAGTTTCTAGTGAGCACCTTTTGGCGTTGCCCAGCTAACTGGCAATACCCAGCTGACTGAGACATTGTCTTTGAAGATCAGTTGATGAATAGTGTGTCTCATATCAAAGTACCACCTGTACTGTTTACTATTTACTTAATAGTTTAAAGTGATACTTTTTCTTTTATACATTTATTTTTAAAAGAAATGCATATAAATGGGAAAAAAGACAGTTGTGAGGGGCGCCTGGGTGGATCAGTCAGTTGATCAAATGCCTTCTGTTTGGGTCATGATCCCAGGGTCCTGGGATGGTGGAAACCCAAGTCCGGTTCCCTGCTCAGCAGGGAGTCTGCTTCTCCCTCTCCCTCTGCTGCTCCCTTTGCTTCTGCTCTCCCTCGCGTGCTCTCTCTCAAATAAATAAATAAAATATTTAAAGGGGGAAAAAAAGACCGTTGTGAAAGGTAGAGAAGAATCATGGCTTCAGACAAAGTATTAGCTCTACTAATAGAAGAGACTGAAAACACGACCCCAGGGTCCCAAGGGGCAGAGATGAGTGGGCAGGAAGATGCTGCGAGCAGGGCAGGGCAGGGAGAACTGGGTTGTATGGCAGATCTGAAGAGGGGAACTCCATGTGGAGGTGGGGTGTGTGCGGAATTGAGCTGGAATGAGGTTTGAGGGAAATGGTGGAGGGGAAACATGCTGAGAACCGAGACAGAGAGGGGATTGGAGAGAAAGGAGAAGCACCAGGGGTTTGGGGACAGAGGCCTGTTAGCCTCTGAGGAATGAAGGTCATTCAACAACACCTCAAAACCACATTTGGACCATCAGGGGCAAGATCCACCCTTTACAGAAACTAGTACAGAGGAACTGATGCAGAGATCATCTGTTCCTAAGTATACTCTGACAGCAAGACTTTTTGGCTAGAAAATTTTCCAGGCCTTTGGGAGCAAGCATATTCCATTGAGGTTCTAATGAGGGCAGGGCAAGGTGAGGAAGGGGGTATAAGGCAGGGATAAGCATCTTTAAAGGGAGGAAAGCTTCTCAGGCTAGTTGGGACAAATGGAGGCTGTGCTGGGGAAGAAGAGATGATGAGACACATTTTCAGTAAGGTCCCTGGCCACTCCCCTTTTACTGAGTGGGTAGGGATTGAGAGGGCTTAACTATCCAAAGAAAAACAGGGGTGCCTGTGTGGCTCAGTGGGTTAAAGCCTCTGCCTTCGGCCCAGGTCATGATCCCAGGGTCCTGGGATCGAGCCCCGCATCGGGCTCTCTGCTCAGCGGGGAGCCTGCTTCTTCCTCTCTCTCTCTCTCTGCCTGCCTCTCCGCCTACTTGTGATATCTCTCTCTGTCAAATAAGTAAATAAAATCTTAAAAAAAAAAAAAAGAAAAACAGAACATTTCCCACCTTCACATCCACCTCCACATCCATAGTAAAGGAGGGTTCTCATGTGAGTACAAACCCAGAGAATGTTGCTGGCAGCAGCCAAGAACCCAAGAGACATGGCCAGGTTATACATCCCATGTGGTTCTTTTCTAGAATTTGACCTCAAGGGCCAGAACTCAGCAGCCAGCCAGTGGTAGAAGTTGCTGGAGTTTCACCAGGTTTCTTCACACAACAGCGGCGAGTTGCCTTCCATTCCTGGAAATAAAGAAAAATGTCTGTGTAGAAGGCCCTGACAAAGCATATTTTCTGTAAAAGTTCCTTAGCCACAGAAGCTGCAGTGGATTTTCCACATACGTGACTTTGGGAGAACCAGCTAGGACTGCAGGGGTGGCACAGTACAGGTGTTGGGGAGCCTGGGATTCATCCATTTCACGAACGTGGCCAACTTACCCACTTTCTCTGAGCCTCAATCTTACCTACAAAATTGGGATAATAACACCTACCTCTTTTACTTTTTTTTTTTTTTTAAACACCTACCTCTTAAACTTTACAGGAAGTCTCAATGAAAGGAAGAATCCAGATTCATGATTTTTCACAAGGCCATTTTATCTCAGATTTTTTTTTAAGTAGGCTCTACGCCCAACATGGGGCATAAACTCACAAACCTAAGATTAAGCGTCACACGCTCTGTCCACTGAGCCAGCCAGGAGCCCCTTCACAAGGCCATTTTATTTTTTTTTTTCCCTGTAAAAAGGATTTATTTTAACATAGTTACAATGCCATTATCACATCCAACAGAATTAATTGTAACATGTTTTTGTACACTATTAGCAAGATACTTTACCATATAATTTACATGTATATTATATACATAAACTCTGTCTACGTCCCTGTCTGTGTAGACATTTGCCTGTAGAAAAGAAGATTCAAGAACTTGACCTGATTTGAATGTTGGAGGATTGTCACGTGGCAGAAAGTTTTAGATTTGTTGTGTTTATCCGTCCACAAGGCCATTTTAAAAACCATTATATTCTTAGGGGCGCCTGGGTGGCTCAGTCGGTTAGGTGGCTGGCTTCAGCTCTGGTCATGACCTCAGACTCCTGGGATGGAGCCCCATGTTGGGCTCCCTGATCAGCAGGGAGTCTGCTTCTCCCTCTCCTGTGCTCTCTCCCTCTCTCTCTTTCAAATAAATAAACAAATATTTTAAAAAATAAAAATAAAAACCATCGTATTTTCACTGGATCCCATTTGTTCACTCAACAACAATCTAATGAAAGAATGTTTCTTGGATGGCTAATGTGCACTCAAAGCTGTGATGGCCACGAAAGGAGAGGTGCTCCTTTAACAACTCCTCCAGGCAACTGCCTCCTGGTGGGAAAGTCAGGGAGCATGAGACCTGGTAAGGCCCCTGTGAAAATGAAGGCTCAACTATGTTGTCATGCTCTTTTGTATTCCCGGCATTCATGAAAGGGAGGCCACACCAGCTGCACAGGCTAAGGTGGGATGCATGAAAGGAAGGGTGTGGAGTGGAGCCTGGAAAGGCAGGATTTGGAGAAGTAGGAGAAAAGAGAGCATTCTCAGTATATATGTGCTGAGTGAGTAAATGAACGAATGACTAAACAAATAAGCAAAGATGGGGCGCCTGGGTGGCTCAGTGGGTTAAGTCTCTGCTTTCGGCTCAGGTCATGATCTCAGGGTCCTGGGATCAAGCCCCACATCGGGCTCTCTGCTCAACAGGAGCCTGCTTCTCCCTCCCTCTCTGCCTGCCTCTCTGCCTACCTGTGATCTCTCTTTCTCTGTCAAAATAAATAAAATCTTTAAAAAACAAAAAAAAAAAAAAAAGGAAAAAACCAAATAAGCAAAGACAATAAAATCAGAGAACAGTAGGCATAACTGTAAGACCTGCCTGAGTGGACTGTGGGAATTGTAGAGCTGTGAGGAACAAACTAAGAGACAGCACAGGTTGTAGAAGAACTCTGGAGATAGCAGAATCTTCTGGTAGGAGCATGGGGTCTAGAACTGGAATGACAGGGTTGCATTTAGACTCCATCACTTATTGGCCATGGGACTTGAGCAAGTTACTTGACTTCTCTGTGCTTTAATTTCCTCATCTAAAAAAAAATAGGGATAGCATTAATATCTACTTTAGAGCATCATTGTGAGGATTAACTGAGATAATGCATGTGAAAGCATAGTGCTAGCACCCTGTAAATGCTCTACACTGTGAGCTTTTAGTCTCAGCATTTGTTTTATTAAATGCTAAGAAGAGAGGCACCTGGGTGGCTTAGTTGTTAGGCATCTGCTGTCAGCTTGGGTCATGATCCCAGCATCCTGGGATTGACCCCCAAATCAGGCTCCCTGCTCAGGGGGGAGACTGCTTCTCCTTCTCCAGCTCCCCCATGCTTGTGTTCCCTCTCTCACTATCTATGTCATAAATAAACAAAATCTTTAAAAAAAAAAGGCTAAGAAGAATATAGATTCAATATGAAACCTATAGTGAAGCAGTGAAACTCCTGGGAATGGGAAATGGGAAAGGGAGGCAGTCTTTTTTTTTTTTTTTAACATATAATGTATTATTTGCCCCAGGGGTACAAGTCTGTGAATCATCAGGCTTACACACTTCACAGCACTCACCATAGCACATACCCTCCCCAATGTCCATCACCCAGCCACCCTATCCCTACCTCACCACCCCCCAACAACCCTCAGGTTGTTTCCTGAGATTAAGAGTCTCTTATGGTTTGTCTCCCTCCCTGGTCTCATCTTGTTTCATTTTTTCCCACCCTGCCACCCATGACCCCCCCGCCCTGCCTCTAAAATTCCTCATATCAGAGAGATCGTATGATAATTGTCTTTCTCTGATTGACCTATTTCGCTTAGCATAATACCCTCTAGTTCCATCCACATCATTGCAAATAGCAAGAGTTCGTGCTTTTTGATGGCTGCATAGTATTACTGTGTGTGTGTATGTACCACGTCTTCTTTATCTATTCATCTGTTGATGTACATCTAGGTTCTTTCCATAGTTTGGCTACTGTGAACATTGTTGCTGTAAACATTCGGGTGCATGTGCTCCTTCAGATCACTACGTTTGTAACTCTGGGGTTAATACCCAGTAGTGCAATTGCTGGGTCATAGGGTAGCTCAATTTTCAACTTTTTGAGGAACCTCCATGCTGTTTTCCAGAGTGGCTGCACCAGCTTGCATTCCCACCAACAGTGTAGGAGGGTTTCCCCTTTCTCCGCAAGGGAGGCAGTCTTTTGTTAAGAATCATTGGCAGCAGAGTTCAGGCTGGTCAGAAGGGAAAGGGGGGTCATGGCAAAGTTGCAGCCCCAAAGGGTCAAGAAGGGCTGACAAAGGACTGGAAATAAGCCTTCCTCAAAAAGAGAAAGCCTGCTACCATTTCCTCAGAGCTGTGTGGAATTGGAGCCTGGCACACAGAAGCACCCAGTAACTGTATTAAACAGCCTCCTCTAGATGCTGTGCAAGTTGAACATCTTTATGGAGCTCCCTGGCTCATTGGCAAACACTAGTGGAACTCTTCTAGGTAAAATCCAAAAAGTTTTATTTTATTTTATTTTTTAAAGATTTTATTTCTTTGACACAGAGAGAGCGCAAGCAAGGGGAGCAGCAGACAGAGGGAGAGGGAGAAACAGGCTCCCCACTGAGCAGGGAGCCCAATGCATGGCTCGATCCCAGGACCCTGGGACCATGACCTGAGCCGAAGGCAGATGTTTAACCGACTGAGCCACCCAGGAGCCTCAAGTCCAGAGAGTTTTAAAGCACTGGAGAAGTCCACTAAGACCTGGCCTCTGGCTTATTTCAGTGTCTTCTACTTACAGAAGCAGACAAATGAACACATGTGAAAACAAAGCCAATGAATGTGGCCAACACCAGCACTGACTTCAGCAGAGAATGACCGGATTCTTATTTTGTGTTAGGGTATTAAAGAAATGAAACAAACACTTATGCTTCTTCTTCTCTTTCTTAGTTCACTGCTCTGCCAGAGTCTAATGGAATTTGAGGTCCAGGTCAAGGAAGAAGAGGCAAACTCATCAGTTTGCCTCTGGCCATGGTTCAAGATTTTGGTTTTCATCTGAGCAATGAGTCTCACAGTTTTGTGCCTCTTTTCCTGATCTACATTTTCAGATTCTACTTTACTAGGCAGGAACATCTTCAACGTAATTGACTAAAATGTTATTAAAATTGGTATAAGAAAGAAGGAAAGAGATTTTATGTATTGGCTCATGAAACCAAAAATTCAAAGGTAAGTTTCAGGCATAGCTGGATCCAGTCACTCAGACGCTGTCACCAGGAATCTCCTCCCCTGCTTTCTCTGGCTCAGCTCTCTTTTCTCTGCATTCTCAAGTAGCGCCTCTGTCAGTTTCACAATTACATTCTCACAGTAAAAAGTCCCAGCAAACAAAAGGCATTCTCTTTCCCAACAGTCTTAAGAAAAGTTCCAGGTTTAGTGTTTACACTGGCTTTGGGTAACTTGGCTTTTTTCAGAATGGGGGGCTGGAGCCAAGAGATGTGACACTGTGAACCAACTCCAGAGGAGAGCTGGGGGTGAGGTTAGGCACCACCAAATCCTACAGTTGGAAGTGTGCAAGGAACACTTCAGGTTTCCCTAGGAAACCTGAAGTTTAGTTACCACAACTAGGAAGTGGATGCTAAACAAACAAAAAACACAGCTGACCCCTACATGCCACCAAAACCCAAACCATAAGCCTTTGGCACAAGTGAAACAACAGTCCAACAGGCTAATATTGAATCAGTTTGGGAGTCAGCCTATCTTCACCTGTATTTCCAGGGAAGTTGCATCCAACAGGGAACAAATTTCAGCACTCAGAGGTTGAGCCTTCTTGAGATCGTGGCATAAAACCAGCCATTGGTTTTACCTAAATGCACTCTCCTTTCTGGAAGTGTTCTTTCTGAGGAAAGTGCTTCAGGGAGCACTTAATGCTTTAAATGTTTGTACAGCACCTTGAGCTCTCAAGAAGCATCACATAAAGGCGTACGCTTTTAATTGTGACTTTTTGAAGCATTGATTCCTCAAGTGGCCTGGTATTCGGATAATGATCTTAGGACCCCAGTCCTGGAGAAAACCACATTTTTCTCTTAGGCAATGACGCAGGGGAGTATGGCCATAAAATTCCCATCAATAATGTTGAAGAATAGGGGCGCCTGGGTGGCTCAGTGGGTTGAGCCACTGCCTTCGGCTCAGGTCATGATCTCAGGGTCCTGGGATCGAGGCCTGCATCGGGCTCTCTGCTCAGCAGGGAGCCTGCTTCCTCCTCTCTCTCTGCCTGCCTCTCTGCCTGCTTGTGATCTCTCTCTGTCAAATAAATAAATAAAATCTTTAAAAAAAAAATAATGTTGAAGAATAGCCCCGAAATACTCAACCGTTATGTCCATTTGCATTTATATTTTTAAAAATGGGCCGATAATAATAATGAAGCACACGACATACGAGGCATAAGAACTAAGGACAAAATTAAATCCACGTATTCATTCAATACACTTGCTATGTGCCTACCATGTGCCAGGGACTATCCTAAACTTTGAGGGTGTAGAAATAAAAAAAAAATGGATTTAGAAAATCCTTGCTTATGGGTGCCTGGGTGGCTCAGTCACTAAGCGTCTGCCTTCGGCTCAGGTCATGATTGCAGGGTCCTGGGATCAAGCCCCGTATCGGGCTCCCTGCTTGGCAGGAAGCCTGGTTCTCCCTCTCCCACTCCCCCTGTTTGTGTTCCCTCTCTGGTGGTGTCTCTTGCTGTCCATTAAATAAAATCTTTAAAAAAAAAAAAAAAGAAAGAAATTCCTTGTTTATATGAAGCTTACATTTGCAATAGTGTGTACATTGTATACATCTTCCAGCTGCCTCTATTATTGACAGGAAATATACAGCAATAAACCAACCTGGCAAAGTCTCAGTGAATGCCATTCTCCTCTTCATAAGGATTAAAAGGAGTCTTCTGAGAGATGCAGACACCTGTTCAAGAGGCCACAGAAAATAAGTGGTAGAATCAGGACTGAAATTTGTATCTCCTTATCTGCCTCTAAACTACTATTCTCTCTTAGGGTGTGGATGGAGGGTGACAGAGAATGGTGGGGACTTTGGCAAACCAGAGACCAAGCTCTGTGCAAAGGGAGCCACTATTATTCAGCTCCCTCCATGTGTCACAGGGAAATGTGGCCCACGGCAGCTAGGTTTTCTGAGTTTCCAAGAGGAGCCTGCAATCAAAACTGATTTTTAAAACACCATGGAAGCCAAAAATAATCTGTCTGGGCATAATTCAGGCCCTGGGTCTGCCCCTCTATTAGAGGTCACAGTGTGGCCAGGAGCGTCCCTGGGGAGGTAAGACTCCAGAGAGCAGCTCCAAAACTCCGTGTATGGAGCAAGCTGCAAAAACAGCTGTGGCCCTTGCACAGTCTGTCTCAGGTTGATTTGATATGGCTAAGGTAGAAAAACGGTGGCTTGTTTACTAAAAAAAGCGAAGTCCTTAATGAAAGGGAAGTCTGAGGAAGCAGCTGGAACATTCCACCACCCCCCAGGCCCCAGCGTGGAGGAGGTTGGCATAGAACCATCCTATGGTGGGTTGACAGGCCACGCTTATCTGAAAGGGAAAATTTAACTTCAGGGCGGGCTTCGTGTTACATCTGAGGTCCTAATAATGATCATTATGCTGTCAGCACACAAGACGTGGTTCAAAATAATTCTCCTCCTAAAAGTCACATTCTACTCGCTTCCTGGCCCTCCTTCACCCCCTCAACCCCTCAGCCTCCCACACTCAGCAAGTCTTTCCTCTTCCCCATCCCATTTGCCAAGGGGTGACAGCCATGGGGCATACGGAGGTCTCCTCCCTGGGGTGGCCTGGGGCCAGAACAGAGTTGGTGACGAGGTCTCCTCCTGTCCTAGCTTTTGGGGGAAGGGAGGGAACCCAGAAGAGCTTCCACCTTTAAAAAACATTTGCACCATCAATAGAATGAAACTCTGCAAGACAATAGTTTTACTTACAAAGTGTAAAGGAATTCCCATCCTCCAGATCTTAAGATCAGAAAACCTCTGTTTACTACAAGAATTGTTTCAGAGAGGGAGTGAAATCTGGCACACGGAAAATCCCATTCCTGTCCGCTCTCAACATAGTAGCTTTGCAGCCATATGCCATTGAGTATGATGGTATCACAGCCAAACAGGACTACGCTGTGGCATTGGAGACAGATTTGCCACCTCAACCACCTCCTTCTGCTGCTGGAGGCAGGTGGCAGGGCTGTGAGATCCGCAGATCAGGCAAGGGCTCCCGGCTGGGACCTGACAACTCCGTTTGTGCTATGAGGCCCTGGGAGCCTTTTCTTTGGAAAGCACAGGAAGTAAGGACCTAGATTCTTTCTTTTCTTTTCTTTCTTTCAAAGATTTTATTATGAGAGACAGCGAGCAAGCCAGAGAGTGAGCAAGACCATGAGTAGGGGGGAGGGGTAGCAGGAGAAGCAGATTCCCCACCAAGCCAGAAGCCCAACCCCAGGCTTGGGCTCCATCCCAGGACCCCAGGACAATGACCATAAGCATGAGCCACCCAGGCGCCCCAGGACATACATACTTTCTGAACAGGACGAGTCGGAGAAAACTTGTACTGTGTCCCACTCCCTTGCTTGGAAGATCATTTAAGATGAAGAGAGAAAGTGACCTCTCCCCCTTGTGGGGACAGGGCAATGCTAGAATTCAAAAGGTCCAGAGGCCAGTGTTCCAGCCCAGGTTCCCCTGGCTTTGGGACCCAGAACAATTTACTAAACCTCTAGAGGCCTCATTTCCCTCATCTGTAAAATGGAAATAATGGGACCGAGCCCGCAAATCTGTAGTGAAGGTCAGGTGGTGCACAGAGGAGAAGCTGCTTTCTCTTCGCAGAACTTACATAGAGCTCTCCATGGCCTTCCTGAATCCCCACCATGCACCCCCCCATCTACACCCTAGGAGAGGGTGCATATGCAGACCTTTGCTTCAGCCTTGGCCCCAATCCTAGTTTCTGCGGCTCCCTGGACACGTCATCGGGAGTTTCATGTGACGACCAGGGTCACCCTCTTGCAATTCTTTAGCTGCCACAGTGGAGACACAAGCTACCTTTGCTCCCACTCCACCCCGAGCCTTATTTTGGACGCCACCTTTGCCTGAATTGCTGGACTGCTTTGGCCACATTCCAGACGAGAACGCACCTGCCCCACCTCCTGCTCCAGGCCTCTGGACAGCCCAGATGACAGCCCTGTAGGTATGGCGTCCACCAGAGCCAGAGTGGGAGTGGCCATCCACACTCTGTCCATATGCAGTTTCTCAGGCTCCGGTGTAAACCTGTTGTTCTGACTCCCTGAGACCAGGGCCTAGGGATCTTCAAGTAACAAGCCCAGCGAGGGAGCAGGTGCACATTAAAGTTAGCATCCATGGCCCCCTGGGGCCTCCAAGCATGAATCTCTTCCTCAACCTGTTTCTTGTCATCTGTCCTATTTAACTCATCATTCCCCAGGGAAGCCAGGCCTCCAAGCCAGAAGCCAGGTGGTCCCCCAGCTTCAGGACAGGCCCAATCACCTCTTAACAGATTTGGCCCTTCTCCCTGCCCTGCCTGCTCCTGCTCGGGCCTTCCCTGTGATCTCACTCCAGAACCAGTGGTCTTACTCATCACCTGACCATTCTGGAAGGCTTGATCTGAAATGTTAATTTAGGGATGCCTGCGGGGCTCAGTCAGTTAAGCCTCTGCCATCATCTCAGGTCACGATCCCAGGGTGCTGGGATCGAGTTCCACATCGGGCCACTTGCTCAGCCATGAGCCTGCTACTCCCTCTGCCTGCTGCTCCCCCTGCTTGTACTCTCTCTCTCCCCTTGACAAATAAATAATAAAAATTTTTTTTAAATAATAAAATCTTAAAAAAACACGAAATGCAAATTTGGCCCTAATATTCCCTTACATAAAATTCTTTAGGGTTTTTCCCTCCTCTGCAGGATTCAAAAGCCTGTCCCTACAGCCTCAGATCTCCTGCCATTTCCACTCCTACAGGGAAAACTCCAACTAGACTGACATTATGCTCAAGTCTTTGAACGTTCCATGGGGCTGCATGTCTTTGGGCTTCTGTAGACACAGCACCCTCCACCGGAATAGCCCCTCTCCTCTGCTACTTTTCCTTCAATCTCAACTGAAATGTCACCTCCTCCAAGAAGCCTTCCCAGTAGTGCTGAGTAATCCCTCCTTTATCTCCATACACTCCCCAAGTATATCTATACCCATGATCCTATTTTGCCTTTATTTGTTTCTGTGTTTCTGCCCTACTAGATCCATACAGGGCTGTGCATTTTATTCATTTTAAATTCCAAGCCTTTATCAGGGCTGATAAGGTCCTTCAAGATCTGGCTCCTGCCCACCTCTCCACTCTGTCTCCTACCACTCTCTGCCCCACCCACTTCACCCAGTCACACTGGCCTTTGGACTGTTGCTGAGGGCACCAAACTCCTTTCTGCTTCTGGCTCTTTGTTCCTGCAGTGACCCTTTCCTCGAATGCCCTCCCCTGGATCTTTCCATGGCTGGCTCCATATTGACATTCTGATCTCTGCTCTAGTATCATCTCCTCAAGAGTCCTTCCTTGACCAAACCATCAGAAGTAGTCTTCCTTCTCCATTTTTCTCTCTTATAATACCATGTTTTCTTCCTTTGGGGCACTTATCACAAGCTATAGCTATTTCTCATTCAAAATCAGCCTTATTGGGGCACCTGGGTGGCTCAGTTGGTTAAGAGTCTGCCTTCGGCTCAGGTCATGATCCCAGGGTCCTGGAATCGAGTCCTGCATCAGGCTCCCTGCTCAGTGGGGAGTCTGCTTCTCTCTCTCTCCCTCTGGCCCTCTATGCCACTCATGCGCTCTCTCTCTCTCAAATAAGTAAATAAAAGCTTAAAAAAAAATCAGCCTTGTGGAGGTATAATTTGCATAAATAAAAGGTGTACAGTTAGATGAGTTTTGACAAATACCCATATACCAGGGTGGCTCAGTTGATTAAGTGACTGCCTTAGGCTCAGGTCATGATCCTGGAGTCCCAGGATTGAGTTCTAGGATCAAGTCGGGCAGGGAGTCTGCTTCTCCCTCGGACCCTCCCCCAGCTCATGCTCTTTCTCTCTCATTCTCTCAAATAAATAAAATCTTTAAAAAAACACTATTTGTTAAAATCTTTTGCCATATTTTAATTTGGATGTTTGCCTTCTTATTGAGTTATATATTTCTCTGTATGTTGTAGATGCAAATTATTGTCAAAAACATGTATTGCAGAACTTTCTTCTATTCTGTGACTTACATTTTCATATTCTTAATGCTGTCTCCACCCTTTTTTATGATTATTTCTACCTGTGATCTAAGAAAACTCTGCCTATCCCAAGGTCATGTAGATTTTCTTCTATGCTTTCTTCTAGAAGTTTTATAGTTTTTCTTTATTAAATACTTAATTCTTTGATCTATTTCAAGTATGTTGTGAAGTAGGAATTGAGATCCCTTGGATATTTGGTTACTCCAGCATCCTTTGTTGAAAAAAAATCTATCCCTACAACCATAGTTATTTAAATTCTGTTCCCTTTTTTCGGGGTGCCTGGGTGGCTCAGTGGGTTAAGCCGCTGCCTTCGGCTCAGGTCATGATCTCGGGGTCCTGGGATCTAGTCCCGCATCGGGCTCTTTGCTCAGCAGGGAGCCTGCTTCCCTCTCTCCCTCTCTGCCTGCCTCTTTGTCTACTTGTGATCTCTCTCTGTCCAATAAATAAATAAAATCTTTAAAAAATAAATAAATAAATTCTGTTCCCTTTTTAAAATTATTATTTGTCTCTCCCACTAGACTATAGGCTCCATATATTTATTCTAATTTATTTTTTTTTAAAGATTGTATTTATTTATTTGACAGAGAGATCATAAGTAGGCAGAGAGGCAGGTGGGGGGGGAAGCAGACCCCCTGCTGAGCAGAGAGCCTGATGTGGGGCTCGACCCCAGGACCTTGGGATCACGACCCAAGTCAAAGGCAGAGGCTTAATGCACTGAGCCATCCAGGCACTCTATTTGTTCTAATTTAATCTGAGCTCTTTTCCACCTCTGCTACCTCCTTGCAAGGGGAGAAAGCAGAGAAAGAGCTTACTTGGAAGTCACTTCTAGAGCTGATTCTAGGGGCCAGGAGCAGGGAAGTGGGGAGAGCCCATGGGAAGGAAAGCAAGCCAGGACGTGGTGTGCTATGGAGCTGGTCACTGCTGGGGGGACCTGGGGCCTCCGCACCTCCACCCTGTATCAGAGAAGGGAGAAAATATCTACCAATCCAGCTCTGTTGGTCAGCGGTTACCCCAGCAGAATTAACCTCCCCAGACCTTCAGACCACGGTGCTCGAGCTCAGAGACAAGCCCTGGGCAGAAGGCAAGAGCCTCGGGGAGCAGCTAAGACAAGGGGTTTCACCTGCTCCAAACCGGATGCCAGGATGCCCGATGAGTAAAAGGTGGGTCAGGAGGATGAGAAGAGAGGGTCCCACGTTTCTGACACACAGTCATAACAAGTATTTATCGAGTGTCTCCTCTGTGCCAAGCATTGTGTTGAGCAGTGGAGACAGTCATCCAAAAACCAATCCCTCCCCTTAGGACGGAGACAGACAGCAACCAAGCCAGTGACTGATCTGCATTATACCAAGAAGAGGTCAGTGCCGGGAAGACAAACAAAACAGGGTAAGAGAATTGTGAAGGTGAGTGCTGGGATGGGAGTTATTTGCACCATCAGCAAGTTTCTTGAGAAACTGCTGGAGAGAGAGAGAGAGAGAGAGAGAAGAGACAGAGAGACAGAGCCATGTGGATACCTGAGGCAAGAACAATCCGGGCAAAAGGAGCCACAAGCGAAAAGCGTTTAGGGAGGACTAGCTTAGGGCATTAGAGAAAACAGGAGGTCACTGGGGCTGGAGCAGAGTGAGAGGCAGAGCCTCTAAGAGGTCAGGGAAAGCCTCAGAAATGAGTTTGAATTTTATTCTGACTGTGATGGGAAGCCACTGCAGGGCTTTAAGAAGAGTTATAAATTTGTCTTATTTATGACTTAAAAGTTATGTGAGATACCGTTACACATATGTTAGAATGGCTAGAATTTTTTTTTTTTAAGGGATGATAGCCAGGACTGGCACTTTGCAGAGGGAAGTCAGCTCTCCCACCACCTGCTGGGCCACCAGTGTGCAGAAGGGTTGGGCGGAGTCACAAAAAGATAGACTTAAACTTAACTGTGCAGCCCAGCAATCCCACCCCTAGGTATTCACCTAAGCGAAGTGAACCTTAGGTTCACATCCAAACCTGTACATCAATGTTTGCAACTTTATGTGCCATCACCAAACAGCGAAAATAGTTCACATGTTCTTCAGCTGGTGACGGCTAGCCTGTGGTCCATCTGGGTAAGGACACTCCTCAGCCACTAAAGGACATAGACTACTGAGAATACACGTGACAACCTAGATGGACCTCAAGGGAATTATGCTTCATGACAAAAATTCCATCTCCAAAGGCTGTATTCTCAAAAAAAGACTGTAGAGTTGGAGAACAGCTTAGTGGTCACCAGGGGACAGGGAGGTATGAAGAGAGAGTGGGTGTCCATACAAAGAGGTGGCAATGAGAGGGCACAGTGACCTTCCTTGGCTGTGGCTGTGGATACACAGATCCATACACAGGATTTCAGTGCACAGAACTATACACACATCCATGCACACAAATGACTGCAGGTTATAAAATGGTGAATGGAGAATAAGGCCTGCCACGTAATTAACAGTAATGTGCCAAGGTCAGTGTCCTGGTTCGGATATTTTCCTACAGCTCTCTGTAAGATGTCACCATTGCAGGAAGCTGGTTCCATGGTGCACAGGACTCTGATTTGTTTGCATCTTCCTGTGAATCTGTAATTATTTCAAACTTGTAAAAACTTAGAAACAAAACTCTGACAGGTGGGTAAAAAGTTCAAAAAGACTTTTTTTTTTTTTTTTAAATAGGGGACATTTGCAAATGGATGGGTAGTAGATGGCACTTGAGAATTGTGGTTGCCTTTCTCAGTGGGACATGCTTCTCAGTTGTCCTCACTCTTGGGTAATCCATGTGAAGCATTAGAGGGGCAGTGTCAAGGTCTACCACGTGCTTCCAGTGGTGCAGCAAATATATGCCTGTGTATATACATCATTTTAAAAGACAGCAAAATGGAAACAAATATTGAATGTAGGTAATAGGTTTATAGGTGTTCACTGTTTTATTCTTTAAACTTTATATTTGAACATTTTAGTAATAAGAAGTTGAAAGAAAAAAAAGGCATGAACTGTGGACAGGTACAACAATCTGGGTGAACCTCAAAACATCATGGTAAGGGGTGGCTGAGTCGTTAAGTGCCTGCCGTTGGCTCAGGTCATGATCCCAGGGTCCTGGGATCGAGTCCCAAATGGAGCTCCTTGCTCAGTGGGGAGCCTGCTTCTCCCTCTGCCTGCTGCTCCCCCTGCTTGTGCTCTCTCTCTTTCTCTCTGACAAATAAATAAATAAAATCTTTTTTAAAAGCGTGAAAGAACAACAAAGAAGTCCATCATGGTAAGTAGAGAAGCCAGATTCAAAAGGCTACCTACTGAAAGATTCCATTTTGTAGAAGTTAAAACTATAAGGACAGCGATGGGAACAGTGACTGCCAGTTGCTGGGGATGGGAGCAGGGGGGTGGCTGGTCACTAAAGAGCAAGAGCAAGAGAAAATTCAGGAGGTGATGAACATATTCTGTATTTTGATTGCGATGATGATGGTTACGTGACTCTGTTTGTCAAAACTCATAGACTTTGTGCTAAAAAAAAAAAAGGTGATTTTAACGCATGTAAATTATACCTGGAAAAAACAAAACAGAAGCAGAGGAAGTTATCACGTGTGGAACCATTAAAAAGCAAGCTACACGAGGGCAAGATCTTCTCTGTCCTGGACTTGTTCGTTGTGCTTATGACACAGTTGGCATCAACTAAGCAATGAATAAATATGAGCTCATATGTGCAGTGAGTTTTTTCCCTGGATAAAGCCCTTGCACCACAGGGACCAGGAGCTGGGCAGTGTGGTATGGCACAGGCTCGGCACAGGGTCACTGCCTGATGGGTGATGTGGCTTCATCTTACTCACATGGGCTTGACATTTCACTGTAGCATCACCAGGAGCACAGAGGTCCTTCAGTGTCCTGCGTGCTGGTGCTCTCTGGCTGGAGGGAGCTCTGTGGGCCATCTCAGGGACCAGCAACAACTCCAGGAAGTGACAAGTGGCTGCTCCAACAGAAGGGAGGTAAAGGAATTTCCCTTTCTCTTGAGACTTGTCAGTCAAAACCGAACTTCCTTCTCCGAACTAGCTCCTTTTAAAAAGAAGGAAGAACTTATCAATTCCCTTGGCAAGACTAACATGCTAAATAAACATGACACATTATTTTCCAACATAATAACAACTACCATTGAGCTTTCTCAGTGCCAGGGCCCTTTATGGTGCCATGTTACTCTTACAGCAATTGAATGTGATGGCTACTCCAGGAGCCCATTGTACAGATGAGTGAGCTGAGGTTCCGGGAGGTGAAGGGACTTGCCCTTGACCATATCCTGGGGTGCTCAGCCGGCTGACCCTGCACTTAGGTAAGTGGCCTTTCACAGAGAGCCCGTCCTCTTGAGCCCCCCAGCTGCCCAGGGGACAGCTTTCACGTAGAGTCACTGTGGGTTCTGCAGCACCATTTGGGCAGTGGAAGTCTCTTCCACTGGCCCAGAATGGCATGTTCTCCCTGCTGTGGGGTGAGTGGTTGCGTCTAGGTCAAATATGGAAGGCGAGGGGAGGAGTGGGGGTGAAGGAAGGGAAGGGCAGGGAAGAACATGCAGAAAACACCAGCTGCTTCTTCTAGCTTTGAAAAAACACAGGCATTAGGGAACACAGATTTTTATCACAGTTTGTCAGGACGGAAGAGGAGGGGGAAGAGCAGGCTGCAGAGTAAGAAAGGGCTTCTATCCAGACCTCAGCACTGGGTCTGAGGCCCAATGATAATGACAAGAAAGATGGTAATGGTGATGATAGTCACCAACACCGTGCCAGGTGCTGAGCTAAACCCTCCCTATGAGTGACCTCAGGTAGCTTTCCTATTATTTTCATTCCCACTACAAAATGGAGGCCCATGGGGCGCCTGGGTGGCTCAGTGGGTTAAAGCCTCTGCCTTCTGCTCAGGTCATGGTCTCAGGGTCCTGGGATGAGCCCTGCATCAGGCTCTCTGCTAGGCGGGGAGCCTGCTTCTCCCTCTCTCTGCCTGCCTCTCTGCCTACCTGTGATCTCTCTGTCAAATAAATAAATAAAATCTTAGAAAAGAAAAGAAAAAAAAAAAAGAAAGAAAGAAAAGAAAATGGAGGCCCAGAGAGTCCATACACAAACTCATAAACATATTTTCACATGTACAGATTCATATACATTGAACGAGGTCAGGAGGGACGCTCATGAAACTAACAATAGTAGTAACCCGAGAAGGGTGGTGAGTGTGACAAAGGGGGAAAGCTTAAGCTTCTTTTTGTATTGTGTAATATTTTTTACAATGGGAATGGTACCCGTGGGTGTGTACTTAAACAACAGCAAAAAAAAAAAAAAAAAAAAAAAGGTGGGAGGTTTTAAAGATCTAGTCCGAAGATCCCATAACTAATTTCGGGCAGGGTCTCTCAGAGGGCAGCTCTCAGTCCTTAACCCTCCACCCCCACTCGGCGCCACGCCTATCCACGAGAGCCCGCAGTTCTAGGCCCCCCACACCTGATGGTGCAGAGGGAGTAGGAAAGGACTTCTGAGCGGTGTCGCCTTTCCCTGGGCTTCCCTAGGGGTACTGCGCCAGGCTCGCGCGTCTTGGCCTCTGCGGAGCCAGTAGCTCGGGTTCCAGACCCAGGGCCCGCCCACTGTCACGGAGTGGACTCCCGGCCAATCAGACCGGGGTGATGCCACGCCAGAGATGAGAGTGGCAGGAAATCAAGGTCAAGGCCCCGGACACAATGGGGCCATTGTCGGTCTCCAGTCAGTTGACTTTCAAGCAGCAGTTCCCTATCCACCCGCGCTCCTTCTCAGCCCCGCCCCTTGCCAGGAAGTCACCTAAACCCACTGCCTCTTTTTTCGGCCCCCGCGGGAGGGCAGCCGCATTCCGAGTCCTACCCCAGACGGGGGAGCTTGGCCTCCCCCTGCATGGCCTGTTATGTCCACAAGGTGGCGACAGAACACCACACTTCCGAGGGCGGGAAGCAAGACCCGAGGCCAGCAGCTCAATCACGGATCAGGGCGTGGGGGACCGTGCCCTTCCGTTTTATCCACAAAACTAAGTGAGGCTATACTTTCCCTTCACCTTTTACTCTGAGGTCGCTGAGATCTGGAAACTCAGGGGCTTTTCTCTCAGCAAATGGCAAAATGGCTGTGGGCTGAAGCTCTTTTCCTTGATGGCGAGAAAACTGAGGGAAACCTCTTTGCTACGTAAATCACAGCAGGTGAAACTGACCGCCTCTAAGGCCTGGGTTCATCAGTTGGTTAATTGGTTGATTGACTGACAACCTCTTGCTGCCTCTCAGCCGCCCCGGGACTCTGTGGGTCCAGGCAGGCGGTTGTTTACCTTAAACGCGTGGCCTGCGCTCCAGGCCCTAGGGGCAGTGATGAGCAAAGCTAGCTTGTCTCTGCCCTCAAGAAGCACCCAGTCCTGAATGGGAGGGGAGACGGTGATCAAAGCTACACCTAGCACTGCAATAAGTGGACAGGGCAAGGGCCTGGCCTGAGCCATTCCCTCAGGAAGTGATTCGTGAGTTGGGATGGGAAGGGTGGGAATGAAGACCCCTTTCCTCCCAATCCCCTTAAAACAGCCCCTTCTTGGATTGATCCAATTACCCACTGGACCACCAGGCCCGTCCTAGGCCAGGCAAGTGGTTGGAAAGAGTAGATTAAAAACAAATGTACCCTTGGGCGCCTGGAGGACTCAGCTGGTTAAGCCTCTGCCTTCGCTCAGGTCTCGATCCTGGGGTCCGGGAATCAAGATCCAATCAGGCTCCCTGCTCAGTGGGGAGTCTGCTTCTCCCTCTGTGCCCCTCTCTCTCTGTGTCATGAATAAATAAATAAAATCTAAACAAACAAACAAACAAACATACCCCAACAACACAGGCTCCTTCTGAGATCCACTGCCCTTCCCTTGTGTCACTGGAGGACGGCCCCACACCATGTCAGATTCCCAACCCCAGACCTGAGGAAGGAGGAAGAGCCTTTCAGGGAGGTGATCTGGGAAGGCCTTCCACAGAGTCAGAAGGGCCTATGAGGGGGGAGCCTGGGCAGTGTGCTAGCATGAGGCCAGCATCCCTGGCTGCCATGGGGAGTCTGGCAGCCCCTCTGCACAGTGGGCAACAGGGGGAGCCAAGGGCTCCAACCACCCTCACACAGCAGCCACTGGCACATCGTGAGAGCTGAGAGCGTGGACTCTGGGGGCCTAGCCCACCTGTCTCACCAGCTTTGGCCAATTACCTAACCTAAACTTCAGTCTCCCTGTCTATAACACGGGGGCAATAAGAATGGCACCAACCCTCCTAGAATGGTTTTGAGGATTGAGGGAGATAATATGGGAACTCTCCTGGCCCACAGTGGGCACTTAATAAACACAGGCATTATTGTTATCCACTTTTTCATGAGCCCCTTTATCACAAGGTTATGCCAGTTGGGAAACCAGGAACGTGTGACCCAGAGAGGTTAAGTAGCTAGCTTCCAGTCTCAGGATCCAAACCCAGGTTCCTTTGACGCCAAAGCCTGTGTTCTTGGGAGGTGGGGGAGGGGTTCTCCAGGGCCCCAGGCATGGTGGGGTCAGAGCAGGAAGCAATGGGGAGGCAGGGCGAGAACCCCCAGGGCAGGTGGGTGCTGAGGCTACCTCCAGAACCCTGGCATGCCGTCCTGCCAGCCCTAGCCACAGATCTCTGCTCAACTCTGCCCCCAGGATTTGTGGTGCCCCCTCCCTCACCCACTTTGGCCCGTTGGGTTGGGCCCTTTCCCTTTTCTCTTTTTCCGGGCCAAGTGCAGTAATCTCAACTAACAAAAGTGACCATGGCTACTCTGACGTGCGTGTGACACTGATGCTGGCCAGGCTGGGCCCAGCCCGTGGGCCAAGCGGAGCTCAGGCCCCTTCCCACGTGCCAGGCCGCATGGACTGTGCCACTTGGGCCCTTCCCCATGAAGCACCCGAGCAGCCCTTGCTTTGGAGACACGTGCCAAGTGTGTTACAAGCACAATGAGCAAGGATAAGACAGATAAGATCTTGGCGTCCTGTGTGTTTTAAACAACTGTAGGGCTGGGGGCATTGAGGGTGGGGGAGCGGTAGAAACTTCTTGAGCCCAGCCTGCTCCGGCCCCCGCCCGCCCAGCTCTGGAAGGGTGGGCCAGGACCTGGGGCAGAACTGGGCTCAAGATAAGCAGAGCCCAAAAAAATAAAATTAAAATAAAATAAAATAAAATAAAATAAATAAGCGGAGGCCAGATAGGCCTCAGAGCGCAGAAGATGCTGCCCTGTGAGGCCTTGTGTTTGGGGTTAGTGGGCGTGGTAGGGCAAGAGCGGTGTTGGTCCAGCTTCATCTACCCTCTAGAGGTTTTGAAGTTGGTCAGACCACATGTGAGTCCTGACACTGGCACTTAGAAACTGTGTAGCTTTGGGAGGTCACTGAACTCTTCTGAGCCTCAGTGGTCTTGTCTGTAAAATGGGGTTCATTAAATGCTCACAAGGTTTGTGAGGATTTAAAAGGAATGAATGGCAAATGATCTGATCTTCTTTGTTGTGGCTGCTGTGGTGGCTCCCATCACCGTTGTTGATGATGGCTTGGAGATAAGGCCACCCAGAGTCGGACAGTTTGGCTGGCCCCCAGACTGGGGGGGGGGGGTGGTCAGCTAGGTGAGTTTTCCTCCCCGCCCAGTCTTCTGATAAGGACACCAGGTCCTTGAGCCTGATGCAGGAAGCTCAGAGGTCCTGCAGAGGGGAGTCACACCCCCCAACTCACCCCAGCCTCCCTCCCCTACTTACTCCAGCCAGCCTGTGAGGTGGGTAGGGACCCATTCTTCTGAGGCAGCCTAATCTCTCTTCTCTCTCACTGATTCTTTAACTTTTGCCAGCTTCTGGGGTTGAGGGATTAAGAGGGGAGAAGGAGGGAGCTGGTGGGGGGACAGAGAAAGTTCTCCAATCTATAAAGAGGGAAGGGGCCGTTTCTGTCTTTTTAATCTCAGGCAGAAATTGGTGACATTAGGTAGCGTAGTTAAGACACCTGTCCCCACAACCTGCAATCCACTTACGGAAAGGGCTGCTTTCAAATCATGACACTGTTAATAAAAGAATAGAATCTTCCACAAGGAAATAAAAATTATTAACTGAAAGCAGAGTCTGCAGTCCAGTTGGCCGACCAACACCCCATTTCCAGGGCTGGGGTCTGTGGCTTCATGTCCTTGTCTCTGTCCTCCCTTCCAAGCTCCCCTGAGAGCAGGCCACGGCTGGACTGGTGGAGGGCTGCAGTGCTGGCTTGCGCTTAGGTTGGGACTGAAGTCCTGCCCTTTGGCCCTTTCTAGAAATATCAGCCTGAGCAGGGGCCTCTTGAGAACCTGCTCATGCCCAAGTCCTGTTTTTCAGGCAGGATCTTTAGGCTCCTCCTGCAGGTGGGGCTTCTGACTCTATTCCCATTCCTCTCCTCTCCATCCCTACCCAGTTCCCCCCCAGAATCTGGAGAGGGAAAACTCTGGGCCTCCAGAGCCTTCTGAGGGTCTGGAGGAATCTCAGAGGACCTGGGAGCCCGAACTCCAGCTGGCCGACGTGAGGAACAGTTAAGCTCTGGGGAGTGGGGGTGGGGAGTGGGGGAAGTTGGACCAGTGTGTGGAGCCTCTGGAACTTGCCGATCTGAGGATCGATTACGCTGAAATGTTCCCGGTCCGGTTCACAGCAATGTCCGTGGGGAGACTGTGGGAAGGTGTCTGTCTGTCCCAGGTTCCTCAGGCTTGGAAACCCACAAGCCCTGCCTTCTGTGATTTCTGGCCTGCCCACTCACAGCCCTCTCCTCTTGCCTCTGCCCACCTCATCCCCATTTCTTGGCAGCCTCAAAGGACTTAAGCTTCCCTGGTCCTTGCTCCTATGATCTGCCCACCCCCACTGGTGATCACTTTGGTCTCAGTAATTTAATTCCTGCTCTTTCTTTAGGACCCCCCTCCAGGACACCCTCCTGACCCTTCCCTGTCCCAGGCTGGGCTGGCCGGCTGTCCCCGTCTTCTAGCATGCCTGCTATCTCCGGAGTAGTGCTTTGTAAAGTACCTGTTCCCTCTCACCACTGCCATTTGCCTGAGGTCAGGGCTGGTGCCACTGCTGGGCCTGTGGAGGGGGCTCCATTGGACTGGGTCAGTGAGTGGTGATCAACCTCATTCGGGCTTTAGGAGTTCACAGTTCATTGTGCATGTGGGGGTGATAGCCAGGGTGACTCTGGCCTCTCCCCAAAATCCTGGATTTCAGGTTCCCTTTCTCTTCCCCTCAACCCTCACTCACCCCTCCCCACTGTCCTAGTAAGGGGTGAGGAGGTGGTGCAGCAAAGTGGACCATGGGGCCACATGCCCACTGAGGCGGTCTGCCGCAGCTTTCCTCTTCTGTAAAATGGATCATCCAGCACCCTCTTTGTGTCACTTTAAGGACTGAATGTAATAATCCCCAGAAAGAGCTCCTTCCCTCCCAGTGGCAACTCTGGACCAGGGGCAATTCTCTTTCCCAAAGGTTCGTGATCCCTTCTGGGGAGGGGAGAGCACCCTAAGTGCGGCAGTTCTGTACCCCTCATGCCCAGCCTACCCCCTCTGTAGGGCCACACCTTCCCCCTTTGCAGAAGCCAGGGCAGCTCTGGGACACGTGGCAGGGGAGTCCAGGCATGCTCCTGGTCACAAGGGACAAACAAGTGGGTTCCGTGGTAGGTTCTGACCTTATGGGTGAGTCCCCAATCTCATGAATGCCTGCCTGACAGGGGCCAGGGTCTAGGAAATCACTATCTGGGCTCAAGGTTTGGGGCAGAATCAGTTAGCCCAAGCAGCAGGGGAGCTCAGCCACCAGAAATATGGATGAGCCGCCACCTCCCTGCCATGATATCTGGAGGCCTCTTTGCCTACCATCAGGCCACAGTCCCCAAGATCAGAAAGACAACCTGTGTGGAGGCCGCCAGCAAGGCCTCCTCTCCACTGCCCCTCCCTCCCCCAGCTCAGGGCCTTAGGGGATGGTAGTAGGAGGGATGGAAGGTACGAACCCTGGAGACAAACAGGCATCTGTTTTAATCCTAACTATCCGAGTGAGATCTGGGGTTAGTGACTTCATTTCTCTGAGCCTCAGTTTCCTAAGCTGTGAAATGGGAAGAACGACAGCACATGTCTCTTAGAAAGTTCTAAGGACTGAATGGGAAAATTCACATAATTCATTCAGCTCAGAGTGCACACACTAAGAGAATAATAAATGGTGGTATTACTCTTATTATTATGTGTGTCCCTAGCATCTACCCAGGAGACTTTAATGTTGTCCAACCTAAGAGAGTCAGAAACTGCTGAACATTTATAATACCTTGAAGAGGAGCTTGGTTACCTGAAGTGAGTGGAGAGGGCCTACCAGGCTCTAAAGCAGGGGCACTCTCCTTTTCTGTACCCACCCCATGCTGGGAGCCCCTGGTGGTCCTGCTGTTGTCTTTACCTCTTCCATGTTCAAAAGCTCATGGAGGCCTTGGTGCATTTTCTGCATGTGGGAAACTCTTCTATAAAATGCTCAGCTGGGCAGCTCTGCCACCACGAGCCAGGGGCCCTGGTCTGAAGGCCACAGGGCACTATGTTGGCTCTAGAGTGGGCTGGGATGCAGGCCTGGCCAGAAAAATGATCACAGGGATACCACCTTTGCTCGGTGCCACACTTCTGCCTTTGCAACAGGGAGTCTCCAGCTTTTCTTGCCAGGGTGACGACTCGTGGACAATGACACCAGCAGCACAAGGGGCCCCTTGCCCTCTACTGGGAGGCCTTAGCTTTGTAGCCACTGTGAATTTGGAGCAGCTGACAGAGTGGAGGCTGAGAGACCCGCTTCCCTAATGGCCTGCACCACGAAGGAAAGCAGGGACATCAAGTATCCCCCGAGGTCCCAGGCTTTGGCCTCACAACAAGCAGCAGCACAGGGGGTTACACCTGCCCCCGAAGACACACACATTGGGCTCATCCACATCTGTAAAGACAAAAGGAAGCAAAATGCAGAGGACACAACTGCCTGAGGGTCTAGGCCCCCCTCAGGTACTAGAGGTTGCTGCTGGCTAGCCTGCCCCTGTGGCATTGTGGGTGTCAGCTGAGGGACCCTGGCATTCCCAGTCAAGCTCCCCTGAGTAGACCAAGGAGGATGAGAGAGAGGCTATGCCCAAGGATGTAAGTTGGTTGGTGGCCCTGGCCACATAGGTGTCCCTTAAGGCTGAGGCCCAAGTCAAGCTCCCCACAGTGGACAGCACCCATCCCCAGTCACCAGCCATGGGTGGCACTAGGATCCCCACTGCCATTCAGTGGGGGCAGAGGGATCCTCAGCCTTCTTTGAGCCAGTTTGGAGGTGGGACGAGCCACAGAGGGGCTGCCTCTGGCCTCTTTGTTGTGGTAGTGGGGTTCCCAGGGGGGCCCCCTGGCTCTCTGGGCAGTGCAGTCCTGACCCGGAGGCATGGTAGCCTGTACCACCCCGACGCAGCCCAGAATGTGGAGTGGAACGTGGGGTTCTTTTATTAAATGCCCCAAACCCAGCTCCTCATATGGAGATCAGGAGGCTGGGACCCGGCAGCCCCACACCCTGGAGCCCCCCCTACTGGCCTGGAAACTTGAGTCAGTGGCCATGTGGGGCCCCAAGTGGCCAAGGAAAGGTGCCTGGCATCCTCAGAGACCAAGCTGTGTGCAAGGGCTGGGAGGTTCCCTGGGTTTGGGGGTGAGGGTCAGGGTATAGGGAAGAGCCTTCTAGAAGCTCTGGGATCATGTTTCAGGAGAAAGGTGAGCACCATACCTGATTCTGCCAGGTCTATGTCCCATTCCGGCACCTCCTACTGCCCTTCCCACTTAGAATTCCTCCTGACCCTCTTTACATGTGTTTAAAGGAGCCTGTGATTCTCTTGATCATGGTTTGTAATTCTCTACTTGATAGTCTATCTCCCCTATGGACTGTGAGTTTAGGAGGTGGTACTACTAGGATGGCTGACCAACAAGAATCAGAATACAGACTGACAGGCACAGCCTGGCACTCCTACTGTGCAAATCAGGGCTCAATGGCAAGATGTGAAACCAGAGCTTATGTGCGGATTGGGACATCCCTTAATCTTTTATTCCTACTTTGAGGGTTGCAGAAAGCTCCACATCAAACCAAACTGAACCAAAATGTGAGTGACTGACTAGCAGGCAAGTAGAGAGGTACTATTTCAGGGACACCTGGGTAGCTCAGTCCTTTAAGCTACAGACTCTTCCCCACCATTCCTGGTCTCCAGCCCTGTGTGGAGTCAGCCTGATACTCTCTCTCCCTCTGCCCTTCCCCCTCCTAAATAAATAAACAAATAGGAGGTACTGCTTCAAAGACTTCCTTTGAAATGAAACACAAACTTGACTTTCTTTCATTCAGTGATAAAAATATTTACTCAAAATGGATGCAGGCTAGTGAGTGGACACCGAGAGGATAAACACACACACACACACACACACACACACACACACACACAAACACGTTTGCCAACTCTGGCGGGCCTGACATGTTCTGATAAAGGCTGACTTGGGTCCCAAAGAATGGACTCCTTTTCTATGTAAACAGCGTCTCATCCAGAGGAAAGATCCAGGGGCGCCTGGTTGGCTCAATCGGTGGTGCCTACAACTCTTGATCTTAGGGTTGTGAGTTCGGTCCCCACACCGGGAGCAGAGATTAAAATCTTTAGGGGAAAAAATAAAAGACTAAAGATCCCCAGCAGTGCCAAGGTCCAGGTCGTGTGGGGGGGGTTGGGGGAGAGGGAGGTCCTGATCCATGGGGGGGGGGGGGGGGGTGTCTCAGGCTGCAGCCCACAGACTTACCAAAATATGGTCTTCACCACTGGCTGTCCCATAGGGGAGTCGACGTGTGCAACTGTAAACCCACTTTTTGGTTTTGTTTTCCTAAAGCCAAATGCGGCCGCTTCGGGAGGTGACAGCAGCCGGGCTGGCGTCTATCTGGGAGGTCGGCTCGGGCGGCGCAGGTTGAGGCCCGCTCCAACAGGTGCAGGTGCGCTGCGTGCGCGCCCGCCGGCCTCGCGCGAGGTCCCTCACCCGCACCCGGGCGGCCGGAACCCCAGGGCTCAGAGACCCTCCTGCGCACTGCCCGCGGCCGCTTCGGAGGGCCCGGGAGAACGCGGGGAGCCGAGCTGCGTCCTCCCTCGTTCCCCTCTCAAATGCCAGCGTCCTCCATTTGCTGCGCCCAGGGTGCGGCCTACTCAGTCACCGGCCCGGCAATCCGGGCGGCCGCGAGAGCAGAGCCGGGGCTGCCAAGAGCGCGGCGGAGGGGCGGGAAGGGAGCGCGGGGTGTTTGCCCGGCAAAGCCCGGTGGCGCGCTGAGTCGGGCGCGCTGGCTGCCCCGCCACCTGTGAGGGCGCCCGGCGGCTGCGCCCGGCCTAGCCCTGGGGCCCCCAGAGCGGCCAAACGGGCCAGAAGGCGGGGCTGGACGTAGCGGCCGGGCCAGGCTGCGGCAGCGGCGGCGGCAAAGGCGGTCCTGGCGGGCGCGCCTTTTCCGGCCCGGCCTCCCGGAGGGCAGCGCCCGCGCGCCCGGCGCTCCGAGAGCCGGCGGGCACCCTACTCGCCCCCTGGCGGCGCCGGGGACTCGCCGGGCGCCACCGCTGCCACCGCCGCGGAATGAGCTGTCCACAGCAGCACTGGGCGCCGCCCGAGGTCCCGCAAGAATCTGTCCCGGGGCTGCGAACCCGGAGGCAAGCCGAAATTGGAGGAATGGAGGAAAGATGGGAAACGCGGCATCTATGAGGTTTGGGGGGTTTCCCCTTGGATCCACGTCCTCGATATTCCGCGTGGGCTTCTCCACCAGCATGATGATCGACTTCCAGGGACCTCATCCCCTACTAGTTCCCCCCTCCCCCTCACCCAGTCTCTCTGGAAACTAAAAGCCACTCTCTGGTTCTTAGTCATTTTGGGAAAGCTCCCCACATCTCCTCTCCTTCTGCAGTGACCTGTCCATGGCAGTAACCTTGGTGGACTTAGCCACACCAGGACTTACCACACTCAGACCTTTCCGCAGGTGGAGAGCTCTGAGGCGATGCTAAGAGGTTATCAGAAAGATCAGAATTCCATGTGGCCCCCAGTGCCCCTTGGGAGCCTAGCACTGCCCTAGGTTTTGTGGGAGATTAAAGTCCTTGCCCTCTAGGTACTTCCAATCTCAGAAGTCAAAGATACTCAGGAGACTATTGGCACAGCAAGTGGCCTCGCCGCATGAGCTCAGGGGAGGGTGTGGTGGGGATGGGCCAGAGTGTGAGCACTAGAGCCATGAGAATTTGCTGAATGGGCCGGATTTGGAAGGAGAGAGAGGGAGGAAGAGAGAGGACAGACAGTCCTGGTCCAATCTAGAGTGGAGGACTGGTGTGGGAGAGTTGGGGTGGCCAATCCCAGAGGCCCTTAGAGGTTGGCTTCTGCAATGGGAAAGACAGAGGGAGAAGGAAGATCTGGAAGCTGGACGCCCTTCTGGGAAGCAATAGCAAAGTCTTGCTCTGAGGTGGTGGCTGAGTGAGGAAGTTTGCCACCTGCAGTTCTGAGGGGCATGCGTGCAACTAGGAAAGCAAGGCAGTTGGGCCATACACTACTCTCTGCACCCCACCCCACCCCCAAAAGCTTGGGTTAGATGCAGAGGTGTTTGTCAGGAAGGAGGAAGCTCAGATTATGGAAGGGAGAGAGACAGCTGTGCCTAGGTCCAAAGTCCAAAAAATAAAAAAAGAAAAAGAAAAAAGAAAAAGAGTGAGAGGAAGCAGGACGGTGGAGTAGCGCTGGGAGGAGCAGCAGGCTGCCTCCTTGGGGAGGAGGAAGCTCGAGGGCAAGAGCCTGTCTGAGCGGCCAGCAGAGGGCGCAGGGGCCCTAGAACCTCCAACCCACTAGAGCAGGCTGTCCTGGACAATCAGGCTGCTGTGTGTGGTTTCTCCCCTTTTTCCCATTCCACTTTCTTACTGAATTCATCTAAGGTAATTGGGAAGACCCCTTCTGCCCAGTCTCAGGTTTTGTACAGAAGATGTGGTGAACCCAAAAATGAAACTTGCAGGCCTTACTTTGACCTCCAGCCCAAATCTGCCCAGGTCTTAGGGCAGCTGTTATATACTGCCTCATTTTTAACTTAGAAAAGCCATCTTTCTGGCAGTTGGAGACAGACAGACCATTGGGTCTTGTCTCAGTAGTGTGACTTCCCACTTAGCCTTGGCTTCCACAAAGGCCTGTCTGTACCTGGGATCCTGGCTGTTTCGTGGTGGCCTCTCAACCTAACTCTGAGACAGGCTCTCAGGAGGCCATGGGGTCAACCTGGCAGAAGAGACTGAAGAGCCTGGACATTCGGGCACTGGCTACGCTGGGACTTCTACGGGGAAGACTGAGGCTGTCAGGTGATGAGCCAGGAGAGTCAGGCGCTGGCTGTCCAGAGCCAGTAACCACAAAGAGGGCTCTGGGTAATGGGACTCCCCCACAGCCCTGAAGTCAGGTAGGGCAGGCTCTATGATGCCCCTCAGGTGTGGCAGCCCAGGAGGAGGGAGAGGGAGAGGGCAAGCACTGTCACCAAATCCTGCCACAGTGAGGGCTTTGGCAGGTCACTCCACAGGAGAGGGTCCAAGGAAGCACCATTTGGAAGAAGGGCCAGGGTCAGAAGTCTTCTAACAGTGGGGTAGGGTTCTGGGGTGTGTGCAGAACTGGGCTGAGGAGGGGAAGGGTCCTGGCCTAGCAGGGACCACGCAGGTGCTTCTTTGCCAGTGCTCCCTTGCCTAGGCCAGGTTTCCTTCCCTTTGTGGTCAAACCACAGCTAAAGGAGAGCTTCCATTTACTCATGCTCTGCTTGAGTTCCTCCAGGGCCAGCTACCCTCCACTTTCCCCTGTTCCACCAGGAAGCCTGTTGGAAACAGGGAGAAGCATTCCTAATTTCCTCATGGATGATGCTGACGTGAGTGTGCCTGAAGGTGGGCCCATCCCATGGCGTCTGCTGCCATTACTCCCTCCACCTCTGCTGGAATAGGTCCCATTACGGAACGTGGTCTCTCAGCCCCCTTGCCCTGCCACTCCTTTTTGACATTCATAAACACAGTGATCAATTTCTAAGTCCTTACCACGTGCCATGCACTGTGGTAGGCACAGTGGGTGCATGACCTCATTTGTTCCTCTTAGTAGCTCCAAGGCCCAACGTCCCTGTTCTTTGGTTCCGGTTTCCAATCCCAGCCAGGCACAAGGGGTTGAAGTCTGTTCCCTGAGCTGATATAGAGGACACAGTCCAGCCTTGGCGTCACTCACCGTGTGGTGGCTCAGTAAATATTAATTAACTGTGAGGACAAGCTGCACTTTGACTCATCTCTGGCTAATTAAATAAACCTGCCATGTAAATCAGCAGTGGGGATAAAGAGATATTAGGCTGTCTTGAAAAGAAATTGGGCTGAGGGACAGATGGCCTCCAAGCAGAGATCTACCTTGGCCTGCTCTGGCTTTCTTTTGTGTTCTTTGAAGCTAGGGCCAGCGTGGTGGGAATGAGGAGTAACCTACTTCTCAGAGAAAGCCTCACCCCCGACATCCTGGAGAACAGGGAGGAGGGAGGCAGGCCCACGGTGACTGAGCATTCTCTCGGGAGCCCAGACAGAGCTGTCCAGGCCTCCCCACTCCTCTCCCACTCCATCTTCATCCCCGAGGCATCACGTCCCAGGGGTCCTAGTAGGCTGGAGGAGACCTGGGGCTCAGGAAAGACATACTGTGAACGCCCCTTCCATTAGTACCTGGCAGTTTGGGACTGGTGGGACTGGCAGTCACCTCACTGGGCTCTGCTTCCTTCTGCTCCTTCCTACAGAAAATGAGCCATGGCAATGTCCCAGATTCTCTGGAGGCCTGGCTCCCACTCTGACCAACCTAGGACAGGCCACTTAACCTCACCAGGCCTGGACTCGACGTTGTCAAATAGGGAAATAGCAAAGTCAATCGGGGGGGGGCGGTTGCTGTGCACAAAGTAAGGGCTCAGGATGTGGTGACTATTTGATGATGATGATGATGATTGTATCTGGTTCATAACAGCCAACTGTATCCCCCAGTACCACTGGGCTATCTTGAGATACAGTCAGGGTAGCTACTGTGTTTGAGCCTTAAGCTGTTACTTTGAAGGTGGCTATGCTTTATATGGAAAAAGAGAGAATATCATTTCAAAATAATGCCATGATGTGAACATGTAAGGATAAAATGACATAAGGTAGGGGCAAGGGCAAGGGTGCAGGGAGTGTGTGAGCTTCAGAGGAAGAAGGGAACAGTGTGCCCTCTCCCCTCACCTGCCCTCCCCCCTTCCCTCATCTCCCCTCCCAGTCCCTCCCTGCAGCCACATGTGAGCCCTCAACCCTCAGGGCCCATGTCCCTCCTCCTCTCCTGGCTTGTGTTTCCAGCACTAGCATGGCTCTGAAGGTTAGGGCCAACCATGGGGCCTGTGGTTCATTCAAGCTGATCCCCATGCTGTCCTCTACTAGGGGGAGCTACACCCATCACCATGGGAGTTCTACAGGGTCCCCTAGAACTGCCAAGCAGGTACAAGACAAACATCTACACTCAACGCACTGGAACAGATCAAATGTGGTTCTCAAAAGCTCAGACTTGCAAGCTTTGGAGAAGGCCCAGGTTTGGCTCCTTTTAACTCCAAACAAATTCTTGTGGGATGTTGCAATTACTTGTGACAATCCCTCTCCCTGCCTGGGACTTTGATTTCAGAATTAGACATGTAAAACTGGGTGGCTTGCTGGGCCTTGAGCAACTTGGGGGGTAGGGTGGGGGATGGCGAAGGAAAAGTCTTTGCAGCATATTGCATTTGAAAGAAAGATCTCAAGGAATCAGATACTGTAGTTGTTTGTGTTACCAGAACTTTTTCAGCCACTGTGGCAGATTTCCTGTCCCTGAAATTGGTTCACTGTGCTGGAGTGGCTCATTCTGTCCTTTGAAATACAAATGTCTAGGAATCATTCTCTGTAATAGTCCTCATGTTAGAGTAACTTTCCGAACACTGTGACAAATTCTGCAGTCCTTACCCTGAAATCTTATCCCAGGGTTAAGCAGCAAATGAAGATCTGTCAAGGCAACAGAGGATATTTTCATGGTAACTGGGGCTGACCTGACCTCTCCTTCAGGAAGCAGGAGTTGGTGATGCAGAGAGAGCCAAGCGGACATAGAAACAAGAGAGGAGCATGGCTGGG